GGGGAAAGAGATAGAAGCTGACCACCATTGAATATCTTAGCACGGTGATCACCCCAAGTTAGATCAAAGTCTTGGTAGAAGCTACCAGCACAGTTAGCAACCATAGTGCTAATCACTATCATAAGAACATAAAACCCATTATGAGTAGAAGAATTAGGAGCCATTGTGGATATATAGAGAGAGAGAGATAAATTGTTATGGTTCTTGTGATGTGAAGGAATGTGTTGAAAAGAGGGGTATATATATATATGTGACAAAGAGGTGGGGATTGGGTATGGGAGGGTGGTGGGACGCGTGAAGGAGCAATAACTGGGGCTGCTGGGACCATAAGCTGGTGCCAGCTTTGCAAGTTTTGAAAGCTGGAAACTTTTTGTGTTTACTTTATGAATTTTGATATATGTTTTGTGGGTTTGTGTACAGGATACTATTCACTATGAGTAATGATTGTGTCCATGATATTACTTCAGAAAAAGAAAAGAGAAAAAGAAAAATAGAGAATTGTATCCTGATATATAGGGGGTAGACCCCATTTTTGTATGATTTGGAACAAAAATTCACTTTTTTTTTTAAAAAAAAAGAAGGGAAAATTAGGTTATGGATGCCAACTGGCTGTGATATGGAAGGAGAATAAAGACATGAAGCCTTGAAGGTATTTTACTACTACTTCATAGTACCACCAATCATGAATTATGGATCCACTTAGATTATGCCATGTGGCATGGTTCTTATCTGAGTCATTGCCCCTCTCACCTAAATTTTCACTGTTACTAATAATTTTCATGTTTGTGACATTACATAGATTAGATATTATTTGATATTGGCGTTGGGGTTAAAATTAAAAAAAAAATAGTCACGAGACTGCCAATGATATGGCATGGTTACCACTTCGGTGAAGCTGATAACCCTTTCTGCTTACTCTGTCTCTGGATGTTGAATTGCTCGAGTTTTAATTTGTCTTTTCCAATGCTGACAACAACTTTGGATGTGAATGACAAAGCAAATAAAATAATAATTCAAACCAATATGCATTTATTTCTCACGAGTACGGTGCATATACAATTATATTTAAATCTACTTGTATGGCAGATTATTAATGAGAAAAAATATTACCAACTTCCTAGTTGCCCCCATCTTCAATGTTAGTATATCAGATTGCAGAGGCAAAAAGTGAAAAGTTCCATTAATCTCAATGAATGGTTACAACTTACAACTTACTTTAAAACCAGTAGCCGTAGTAACTCAATTTGACAGCTAGCACTAGAATTAACAGCTGTAGCTAACTATTCTAACATGTCACGTTAGCCCTTCAGTAATAAGGAAGTTCTCCTAAATCTACCTTGGTATAGAGGATAAGGCTATTCATAATGGCACAATACCGAAGAGTATGGCAAGTCGGTAGCGATCGCTTCATCACTAAAGTACCCGAAACTGTTACAAGTTTTAATTATAATTATTAGTACTCACTATTCAGGACATATAGAAACTAGATCAATAGTTGCTAGGAGTATTAATTTGGATATCTAAAAACTATTCATTAGTGCGAATCATCATTGAAGTATATAGCCTTCCATCCTCTAATGTTAATTAACCATCACTAACTAGTTATTGGAATAGAAGTGCAATTTTATTGATTGTAAGGAGAAGGTAAGTGGGAATAAACTTGTGGCAACCAGCTAGCAGAATCTCAAACCTTTCCTTGCAAAAAGTAACGAAAATGATGATGCCGAATTTAAAAAGCATTTTAATGAATGTGAGAATGTATATAGCACCTAATAATGGACCTGATTTTTATGTGGTTTGGGGGAATTGATTTAATTAGTGTTCTTCTCTTCTTTCTAAATTCTTTCTTATCAAAGCAGAAAGCATGTTTTCTTTTGCTAACTAAATAATAAACATATCAGTACAAATGGACTACATAATGCATATGGTTGATGCTTTCGGCAATTATGTTTTGTGTCCTTTTAGATAATAAAAACTTCGTGGGGTTGGAGATGAGTCTATATAAAGTATATTTGAGAAAGCCAATACATGGAAGCATAGGTGCTGCAAGTGACTTGGAAAGTTCAAATGAAACAAAAGGGTAAAACAACGAGATGAATGTGATGTGAGTATGGAATTCCTAGACAGTGAAATTGTTGAATTCAACTGAATTGGTTGGTGTCACGATGACATTGAAGGTTGATATTTGTATTAATTAATCAAAACTACTTATTCCTCATCCATCTCTGCCTTCATGAAAAGGAAAGGAAAAATCATAAAAAAGTGTGATTTCATCCCCACAGTTTAATGATGAGACTCCTTCTAACAATCTTTTATAGCATATGGTTTTGGTGAAGATTAAAGTAGGTATACGCCATTAATTAGTGACAATAATTGTGGAATTAAATATCATGGACGTATCAAAATAATATTTAATTAGTAACCATAATATTCTCTTTAAGGGGGGCATTCCTTGTAACAAATTGAGCCATAGTTTCAACTTTTATCAAAGCAAGGCAAGTACTGTTGCTGTATTTGAAATTTGAGCTAACAGTCTTCATAATGGAAAATGTTTGGAATGGTAGTTTCCCACAGGACAAGAGAGGTCGTCCTGGCAGACACGGGTTGAACGTTTAAAAACCAGAAATGGGTGGGAATGAAATTTGAAATATCTATGGAAGCAGGTTCTATTTATTGTTTCATACCAAACGAAGCAACAGTTAATTTAGAAATTTTCTAAATATTAAACAAGTAAACACTTGATGATATAAAAACTTGCATATTCTTTTTGAGAAATGATACATGTATAACTAATTGTACAATGATTTGTTTCCTAAGGGAGATATACCTTATTAAATTTTTTCACTTTTACTAGTTTGGACTTGAGATCAAATTTAATTTTTCTTATATTTTATATCATTTTATACAAATTTACACTAGAGATTGATAGAATAGGCATTAGTATAATAAATATGATTATATATGTAATTATGTATCAATACTCTAATTTTTTTTCTTGCACAAATTACTTTGGAACATTATTGCTACATACATCTATATCAATGAGTATATCTAATCAAGAAGGTTGACTCAAGAGTTAATGAGGCCTAAAATTAAAATTTTAATACATTTTTATTCATATAAAATGAATGAGTTCTGATTTTAGATTCTCTAAAAAAAATTATTTTTCATCTTCCTAAAATTAAAAGTTATTATTTTTTGTCCTGATAAAATAAAAATATTTTGATTTTGATTTTTGTAAAATATTTTGTTTGATTTTCATCCTTCAAAAATTAAAAAAAAAATCATTAATATTAGTCTCCAATTTTTATTTAAAGATAGATAAATAACATTTATTTTAGATATTTTGGAGATGTCACAAGCTAATATAAGGCTTAACATACTAGCATAAAATATGATAACTAACATGATACATTAATTTCTAGCACAATCATTATGTTACATTATTTATATATCACATCATCAAGTTCACATTAGTAGTCAATTTATCATATTAATATTAATATTTATTATTTCATGTCAATAGTTAATATGTTATACTACAATTCGTGAAATAATGAAATAAAATATACAAATTTAAAAGTTAGATGACAAAATTTACGAAACATGACAACAAAAATGTAATTAAACTTTAAATGTTTTATATCTAAGAAATGTGATTCAAGAAATTTTTAATAAGTTTAAAAAATAAATATGAAAATAAATTATGATAAATTATAGGAACTAAAAATAACAATTTAAAATTTAAAATACCAAAGACTAATTTATCCTAAATTTGAGAGATTAAAAAAATATTTAAGCGTAAAAAAAATAAATGAATAGGTTAGATTAGATTTACATATAAAAAAAATGGAAAAATAAATTTTTTTTATCACTTCTAATCTAATGTTTACAAGCAAGTTATGAAATAGTAAGGATGTTATTATCTAATCACAAACCATTATTTATAAGCTATAATTATTAAGTTTTACAATAATCATGTAAAAATTATATTAATAGTGATTTTAATTGATCAATAATATATATATAAAAAATTATACTAATAATGCTTATTAAATCTTATAAAAAAAGAGACTCTTCTCTTTACATGGTGTTAAGTCAAGAGGAGACATTTTCTTAAATGTATCTTGTTTTGTTCAAATTTCAGAAAAGGAGAGAAGTGGAGTGGAACGAAATCTCTTTTAACCTAATTTTAGTTCCCCTCTAATATTAGAGAAATTTGGAAGGAGATGACAGATTTTAAAACATTTATAGTATAATATATGAAATATTTTTTTTACTTGTGTTTTAAAATTTAAAATTATAAAAATATAAAAATAAATTAATTTTTAAAAATATTCCCCTCCCCTTATGAAGTAAACAAGAAGAGAGTTATCTCCTCTTTCTTCCTCTTAACCAAACAAAATTTATAACCACCCCTGCCTTTCTTACTTGACTTTGAATTGTTATTTTTTAACTTAAAAAATATAGAAAAATATTTCTCAAAAATAAATTGGTCCCCCCGGAATAGCTGTTGAAATTAATTTATTTTACAGTTAATCAAATCAATTGCAAACTAAAAGGAAAAACATAAAATAAAATATAAAATATAAATTTTTTTTTGGACAAATGTAAAAATATATTTTTTAAAAAAGTGCCTGCATACACAGGGCATACAGTAATATTGAATCGTACAAAATGGTAAGTTGAATAGTAGCTAAAATAAAAATCCATGCATGCATGTTGTTAATATTATTCCTATTAGTGGGTACATGCATGCATGTTATTATTATATTGGTAATGGATGAGGAAATTTTTGTTTGGTCTAAAAGTCTCAATCGAAGGGCAATTCAACAGAAAGAGACTTATAATTCTAAGAAACAGGAGAGGAGAGGGCACCGAAAACCAAATAAAAAGTCATGAATTAAGATTATGCAAATGCTGAGTCACATCGTACATGGCTTAGGTCTTAGGTGGGTCCAAACTATGAATGAATAAATGTTTGCTTTCTATATATATTGGGGTTTGAAATATTCCTTCGGAATGAGGACTCTCCAACTCCTCCCATATCAAACTCGTGATTTCAATGATTTTTTCCCCCTTACCAGATAATTAGTTTGGATAAATTTTTGAGTTGGATTAAAATTAATAAAACAAAATTTAATTATTTATAATATATCGATTATGCAAAAAATATTATATTAGGCTTAATTACGCCAATATAGTAAAATTTACTCATTTTTCAAAAAAAT